TCAGCCTTCCCTGGGCCCTGCTCCACCTCTCCTTGCTCCAAGACAGGCAGGGGAGCCGGAGCGTGGTCAGTGCCAGCCTGCTGCCTGCGGCTAATAGTGCTGGATAAGATCCCAAGGTTAACTGTAGTTAACAGCCTTCTCTTGAAATCTGGTTAAAATAAAGCTGTTCCTAGAGTTCCTTCACGTCTAGGCGTAAGGGGAGGGAGGGACTTGATCTGCTGTTTGGGTGTGGAAAAGGTCCAGAGCTTTTGTTTCAAGGCTGGATGTGAGTGGGGCGAGCAGAGTGGTCTCTGCTGAGGGGGGGACGGTCTTTGTGGACACGGCTGAGATCTCAAAGAGGTGGCTCGGTCCTGTCTTGCCGGTGAATCCCCCTGACTGGGGAGGAACACCTAATGTTTGTATGCTTCCTGGAATGGGTTTGTAGGTTGGTTCTGGAGGGTGCTCTCATCCTGCTGATTTGGAAAAATTTTTTATAGCCTCCTTTGTCCAACCTTGAATTCTGCAGAGGTTGTTGCTGTCCTCCTCCCTCTATCAGAGGCCAGAGGCAGATGAACAATGAAACGGACCGTAAAAACTACCAAAGCGCAGAAAGTACCCATGGAAAAGCTCCTTTTTCAGCTGGAGATGGTGCTTTTTTCAGCTGGATGGGTGCAGCCTTCAGCTGTGTGTTGTACCAGGTTATCAGGTTGGCGGGATCCCGTGGCACGATTTGCTCGAGCCGGCTGCTCTGTGCAGGGCCCCCGCTCCTCTCCCTGCAGCCCGTTTCAAGGTAGGGAACGGCCTGGCTCGCTCCCGCAGCGTGAAATTCAGATGAGCCAGGACAGTTTTCTCGCATGGAAGTTTTCAGCTCAGCATCGACCTCCGTGGGGCCAAAAGAAGGGGAAAAAAATTCATCCTTAACTTGGTTTGGGTGGGAACCACCTGAGCCGCTCATGCGAGAGGGAATCGGTGGTTTTGAAAGCACCAGGCACGGGGCGCTTACATATCTGGCCGGCTTTTAAACCCTAGAAGTTTTTTTAATAGGGACCTGTGTTATCATGCGTGTGCCTGAAGGAGCATGTGGGTGCAGGGAGATGTGCGGGGCTGTGCCCCGGCTGGGCAGGCTCTGCTGCGGGGGATGGCTGGGGCTGAAGTCTTGTCCGGGAGCATTTTGGGGAGGAAACCGCTGGAAAGCAGGGTTTGCAAAAGGAAGGATCTTCCTGCTTCCAGTAGGAAGGGAACTGGCTGTTGTCCTTTGTTCTTTGGGGTCAAGATCTGCCCTTGGGATGATTTTACCCTTAAAATCGACCATCAGGTCTGAGCCTGCCCGTTGGAGGGCTCGTCGGGGACCCAGACACCCGCCCGAGCCCCCCTCGGCTTTCAGGGCTGGAGGGATTTATCGGCGTGCTCCGAACAGCCCCCGTAGCACTCCCCTCCCCGGCCCCTCGCTCCTCATCCAGAGTCTTCCAGGTGAGATGGGGCAGGTGGGGACCCCCCCCCCCCCAAAAAAAAACCCCCCCGG